TAGTAATAGTAGTAGTAGTAGTAGATTATTTGTATACTTGTATGCATCATTAAATTATGCATCCGTACCGCAGCATGAGACATGGGACAGCCGCAGAGCAGGGTGAACCCCTCGTCATCACAACAAGTTCCCATCTTACCTATGAACTTCAGCCGCTTAGTCGGCCATGAGCATCTCTAGCTAGTTGGGGTTTCTCGAGTCGTGCGTGTTTGTGGATGTGTTGCTGAATAGCATTACTTAAGTCAAATCATACTTCCCTGTGGCTGATCAAACTACTGACTGCTAGACCGCTATCATGTCTACTCATACGTTCTTGTTTTCCTTAATGCTACTACTGCTTATACTGCCATTATTCTTCTTTCTTGTTTACAACTCGGATTGCTGCTCTTTGGCAGCTTTCAGTCGTCGTTCCTCTGCGAGCGCTGCCTGCGCTTAGGGTTTGAGCTTATATAGCAACTACGCCATGCTGCTGACGGATAGAATATGGATTTCTCAGGAATACAGTCCATGCATGCATGCATGCTACTGCACCATGCAAACCCCTCATGGAGTCCCATAATTATTCCAAAAGGGAACGGCGCTTAAGAAATCCTCTGTATTAGGCCGGGATGATTGGTGAGAGCCGGTTAGGGCGCCGAATTCGCCTTGCAACCTACACCTGAACTAGACTCCGACTGGCGAATCACCAAAGAGTTCATGGTCGTTAAGGTTGATTCGCTGATCTTGTTCTCTCTAAGAACACTGACTGCAATCCCCCTCCCGGCAAAAAAATAGTTAACTCCTTCATACAAAGCTCACACATGTTGCGGTGCCCATCTTGAACCAGGGGCAGGAAGGAATTTGATGACCCAAACTGTCAATCCTGGCATTGAGCAATTCTTTGGAAGCTGAGGGTGCCGTCCAAAACAAGAATACGATTTTCAGGTCGTGCATTCGGTCGTTTTCACATTTGCTCCCCCTTTCTTTCTGGAGCTTGCGTTGTTGACGATCTAGCTTCTGGATCTTATTTACTATATGCTCGCCTCTGACTGCGGCTCCCTGACTCATGAGACTGTGTCTCACAAGGACCTGCTACGAAATCCTGAACTTCCTCCCTCTACAGCCTAAAACCCAGAACCCTACAAGGTAGACCTAAAATCAAAAGCGCGCTGCCCATTCCGAAGCTCTCCTAGCAGCGCTCTCAGCTTTGAAAGAGCAGCTCCGTGTGTCTATACAGGCTCTTTGAACCTCATCTGCCTGGTCAAACCACGAAGTAGTACACTGGCTCTTAAAAGAACAGCCGCTTGTGGGACAGAGATTAGGACTTAAGTGCCATCCCCTGAATGAACATAGAATGCAAGAAGCTAGACGAAGGAGAGAATGGATCCTCATGGCAGCTTCCGTGTTCCCAGCCTGTCTCATCTTCTTGGCAAGCCCCTGTGGGATGTCCTACACACCAGGTCACGGCCCAAGATGAGCCATGGCTTAGGTCTACAGAAGAACAACAGAATTTGTTGAAAAACCTGCAACGATACCAGAACCCTCAAGCCTTGCCGCCTTACATCTGCACTTAAACCACTAAAAATGTGGTCCAACACATCTTTTTAAGCGCTGCGGGAGCGAGTGTACCTTTTGAGGTGAGCTTGAGAATCTGTTTCAGAGGGTGGAGATGGGAGCAACGATGCTATTTGAAAAGACATCAGAAACGTCAGACACGTGCGGATGCCAGAGTATTTGCCTGCAAAGCGTGGTTGCCGTGTGAGACAGGGGAGACATGCACAATCCCACTGATTGTTGGGTAGCAAGAATGCATTGACAGTAAGGAGAATGTCCAACTGGATACGCGTCGACCTGTGACATCTACTGTAGCAAGTCTCGAGATCTGCGACATAAAAAATACAAGGACAATGCCTTGGAGACAAGTTGGGGCCCTCGCCCGGGCCCAGGGGACCAGGATCATCCGGCCCCAAACCTATCGTTATTGGGCTTGATGTCCCTCACTTGAGGCCAATGAATGCTGCCAAAATATGAAAGCTCCCAAACAAATACTTAAGGCTCTAAGGGCCTTCAACCCAAACCAAGTACCCTCCGCTGTCCTCCAAGTTTTCGATCGTGCCGAAGAGCTGAAACTTACGCCATTCCTGGGTACACATCTGGGAGCATCCCCAAACTGAAGGGTCTCCTTTCTCGAGGACTCGAGGATCTTCCAACGCACAGCTCCACCCATCTTCACTGTACGTTACATCCGAACGAGAACCCTCGAACCGCCTAGGCTCCCTCCTCCCTGAACTGTCATCTAAATGCAGATTTATTCAAGGTTCATGACTGCTGGAGCTGTGATGGTCTCAAGTTGCTATCCTAGCTCGAGCTACGAATTTATCTGCTGCCTCGTCCATAACTCAAAATAGGTAATCAGGTATGGCCAAGTTGCCCCAGTAGTTTAGCTATCTCCTAGGCAGGCTGGCCAGTACCTGTTAACATCAATACACTGCTAGGAACCTGCATTAGACTATGGAAGAGTTCAGGGGCTCTGAGCATGAGTTGGATTTTTTCATGGAATTGTCTACGTATTCATGTTTAGCCCTTGGCCCATCAAACCTCAATGCATGCCAAATATTTATAGTTGCCTGCCCCCAAAGCATTCAAGTAGATACACAGCGGATTCTGAAAACATTGCATGCGTTGCTCCCACGTATATTTCTGTACGAAGCCTAGGCCGAGTCAGGTTACCGTGGCCTCGAGAATGCCTTGCAGTATGCAGACAATGCCAGAGCTTGAGGATGCTAGTAAAAAGGTCGCAGGGTTTGGGGTGAATAGTAGCCACTACAACGACCAATCGCGAAGCCAGATCCCTTGCCCCAAAAACATCGAAAACACGAAACCGAAAAGACCTTGGAGCTTGCCTGGGGTTGGTTTGAATGCCTTAGCTTCCTGAGTGAACCAGCTTACAAACCTCCCTGCCATGCGGGCCATATATCAAGCTCCTCACACTGAGCTCCTTGAATTATACGAGTGTGCTGATCATGCTGACCTCCTGCAGATTTACACGCGCACACATTGAAGCCTTCAAGTTCGGGAAAGATGTTAGGGGCACCCTGGAATTCACACGCCGATTCTTCTTATTTCTACTATGAAAGCCCTTACACTGAGCCCCATACCCGAACGCCTTAACCCTAAACGTCAACATTCCCATCCCACCTTAGGCGTCGCTTTGATGGCGGAGCTGGTTACGTCTGACCTTATTCTTACTTACATGATCTGCTCTGGGGATTCTGTACGTAGATCTCGAAGAAGGATGGCGTCCGGCCTATATGGTACTTCAGGCTATAGACATGAGCAGCTACAGCGTTTGCGCTGGTTGATCCTATCGGGCGACCTGCGCCATTCATTCCACAAGGGGATGGACGGTCAGTGACAAAATTCCGCTTTGCAATCTCAGGGTCCAAACGCCTTGAGACCCAAATCCCGATGTGTAGTTGCTTGTCTCCGTTTTTCTACTGCTTGGTACAAGCAGTTTTTTTTGGAGCGTTATCCACATGCTTATTTAAGTCATATAAAGAGAAACGGACGCTTACATGCTGGGCGCCAACAGGTGTTTGGGTATGTCATGTTTCGCACGAAAGGCCAGTCGCCTTTGATGTCCTTCCACTAAAATAAGGCTCCACACAAAGCTTGCCCAAGAGCCGCTGAGGAGGGCGACCCCAAGCCACAGACTCAGGATTGTAGGCAGAGCAGTGTCCAGTTGTTTAGAATGGAGCTCCCTACAATAATACCTCTGTCACTGTTCCATCCAGAAGCCTTATTTGCAGCACTGGCCCCATGCAGTTTCAGCCGCCCGGGAGAATTTGGAGGCGATTGCGAAAGAGCGTGCACACAACACTTCAGCGGCGCATTTGCGAAGAGACCCTCAGCCATAAAGCCAGTACAAACCATGATGCCTACATTATTACAGGCTGTGAAGAGTTGAGACGCCTGACCGAGTTTTCTAAGCAACCTCAGGCAACGCAAATGCCATGTGGCGACATGCAGTATGGACCCAGCTAGGGTGCACCCGACCTGAAGCTACAAGCGACTCCTATCCCAAGGGCTTCTTGGATCATGTTGCCATGTCTCTAACTCCCTCCAAAATTAGTGAACAGGAAAGCAAAAGAGCGATCTGAATGAAATCTGAGAAAGGGGCCAGTATGCGAAACCCTCACGAAATTCCTCAAGGCCTGAGAAAGTGCATGAGATTAAGTTTCAGGTTAGGGGTTTGGGGCCCAAGGTTTTTTCAAGTTGAAGCGCAGGGCTCTACTCCCCTGATGATACATCACCGAGTCCTGAGACCTTTCAGGCCAAGTGGCTAAACTTGGGGTTGGGAGTATCCCTCAGACTCAGAGAACCAGCACTATGGGCTACGAAGCTGAGCGCGCCATGAGGACTACAACTTAAATCAGTGACATTTTATCACAAAATAGACGGGGTTCACGGCAAGGTTTCGGAGCTAGGGGCCAAATCTTACACGCCTGTGAGAATAGCACATGCCAAACTTGTACGGTATAGCCGGAGAGGCTGGCAGAATGTAAGTGTGGTCCTACACGAAGTGAACATGACCTTGATAGTGAAAAAGTGAAGACTGCAAAATACCTCGTAATTCCGGGCAATTTCCAAATTTGCAGGAGACGTACGATGAAGACTCCCTATCACGCTCTTGCATTGTGGCCGAATTTCTACCTTCCATCTTGATTCACGAGCCTGGGACCTTCCTTTGATTCCAGCTTGATGTTCTGATATATGCGAAATACCTGGGAAGTTGTCCATAAAAATTGAACCAACAATGCGTTGCTTTTCTAAAGGAGGGGAATGTTCTGATACATGTTTGTTTAGGCAACAGAACTTGGCCTTCCAAGTTCTAAAATCCCTGTGTTATCTGCCTTCACGATGGGAAAATCTGCGCTCCTTTCGCACAAGCCTTCCAGTGCCAGCCAAGGAACTGATGGCCTCATCGCCATCCAAGTCATGCCAAGCGATGGCGTTTATCGCAGGACCTCTGCCACCCTCTTCACAGCTTCTGTTTGTAGCGCTGGAATCCACCGCTCATGAAACCAGAAAGATGATGCTTCGGGGCACCCTATAAACCTCAGGATCTCACCAGCGCCATAAGTGCCTCCCCATTGATAAAACTTCTTAAAAGCAGGCCAAGGGCCCAAGGGGACCTGCGAGTGATTGCTACCAAGAGGAGATCTAGTTGCGCGCAGAAGTCTGTATGGCCGGGATCCGAGGAGAACTGTACCCCTGACTGAGGGGGTCAAGATGCAGGACAAATTTTGGCAATAACGTCTTGATTGCGTTAGGTTTATTTGGTTTCGGACACTACCCAGGGTCGCGGGAGATGAGTACCTCTGCTACTCAATTTGGGATAATAGAAACAGTGACCGGCCGCGATAGATAACCATAGAACCTGTGTATAGCCGGTCCAGTCTCAAATCTAGACAACGAAGACTGAAGCCCAGCAGCTGTCTAGAAAGCTGAGCTCGGCCTCAGTCCTTCGAGCGGGCACGGCATGCTAGTTTCAGAAATGTGGGTGACTTTGGAGGTCTACGGGAGGATTACTGGCTTGTACAAGCCTCTCAAATGTACGGAGCGTTAAGATCAAGCGTCTGCAAGAATCGTATGAGCTGGGGGCTTAGGGCTGAAGATCCAGACATGTCTAGACAGGCAAGGCTCAGTCGACCATCTCCGTCTTTGTCCAGCTTGGCGAAATGCTTGCCCTGGGCTCTGCAGCAAGCTGATGGTATGTTTGAGAATAATCCTGCAAGCGAGCTGCTTCTGGATCTTTAATGTGGGCTCATGCATCACACATCGTACCGCTTCTCAACTTCCTCCATCAGGCACTTGACCTTATAAACTCTAAACTGCGTAGCTCTAGGGCCATGGGGTCGTGGGCGGGCACCTGTGGTGGAAGCATCCCACCCTTGAATGACTCCACTGTAGCCTGACTCCAGAGCTTTGCCCTGCAGCCTGAGCCCAACTCAATCCCTGGTCTGCCTGGCTATCCTGCAGAGAGCAGGGAGGTTCAGCGGGATCATGTCCTTCACAAATCTAAAAGCAGGCCGCATTGGGATGACCCACAAGCAATCTTCCGAGAAATTGTCTAGGGGTCTGAAATCTTGACATTTCACTTTGTAACAAGTGCTACTTGCACAAGGCTTGAAGAGGCCCTGGCAAGCAAAAAAGGTGCAAGTGCCTCTGTCCCTCGCCGAACTCTCCCTAAATCCCCGAGTTCTAGGCCCAGAAACTCTTAACCTGATCGTCAAAAACCCTCGGCCCATCGGCCCCTTCAGGATGAATCGGACCCAGAAAACCCAGACAAGAAGCGACATCAGCACGCTGCCTTCACCAGGTGGGAGCGTAGCAGGGGGATTGGGGTCAAGCTCGTGTAGATAGAAGGTTTGGCCAGGGAAGTCCTGCTGTAAAGGCTCTCAAAGAATACGAACAGGTTTTTGGGCGTTGGGGTGTATACTATACTAGCACAGTCAGTGCGTACTCTTCCTAGTTCTGACTTGAACCTGAAAGAGGTTGATTTTCCAGGAGAAATTCCCTCCCATGCATCCGACGATGGCATGTCACATATTAAGCCATCTACGTTCTAGCCTCAGCGTCTCAAGACGCATCAGCGGGTTATGCCAGCATACTGTAGGAACTGCGAAGAAGACAATTCGTTCTCTGTGCATGATGACCTGGAAGCTCTTGCGGGTCACATTCCAACTGAGCTTCTGGTTGCGGATGATTTAGAGTTCAGAACAGCAATGCAGTAGCAACAAGCACAGTAATGACAGCTGCAGATCCCGCACGGTTACTGAATAGAGGTAGTGTCTGACTTCCAAGGAACAGTTAGTGCTAGCGGTTTAGGTTGCAGCTGGAAGCAACACACGAACTCCACGATAAGTTTACACATCTGCTGGACAGAAGGTACCGACAAACCCCTGAGTGTTGATGCATGAGACCAGAAGAAGTCTTGCATCTGTGCAACCTTCCTGAACATCTCACAATTAAGGAGGTTCTTGGTGTTGGTCGCACTTGCAGACCTCGTTAGCATATGCTTACGATGACTATGGTCGGATACGTGTGACATTGACATCACACTCCAGGATTGCAGGTGACTTACAGGTTAGGATCACGGAGGCTTGTGGATGATCTTTGCGTTGGGGGTGATTTTTATGTCGCAACTTCGTTCATGACCCGGCGCGAAGCACAAACTCATGCGCATTCATCACCACCTTGTCTGAACGAGCAGGTTGGGGGCTTTCTTCCAGAATGTTACATAGCAGGCCATGCTACTGAAGTCGTTCTACATTTGTTCTTCCTTCCAGCCATGACCATGGACCATGTCTTCTCAGAATAACTCACACAAATCGGTTGCTAATTAAACCCTAAACGCCAAGGTCTCAAAGGCGCTAATCGGAAGGTCATCGCCTGGAAGCCCCAGGCACTATCACACCATCCCGCTCGTCAAAAAACGAACATATTCAATTAAAACAGGCGCAACATCCTTGCAACCTCCTCTCGCGCACCTCATATTGCAATCACTTCTTTCCCCGCATTGCGGCGTCCCCACAGGACCTGCTCCGATTGCCTCTTGGAGGACTTCATGTTCTCAAAACAATTTCATGAACTACTTTCAAGATCTCACAACCTCTTCTGGGAACTTCTCTTGCCGTGTAGTTCAAGAGGTTGTCTGGCGACCTAATTGAGGACTTCACATGCGAGGGTACAAAAACGACGACAGTTACAGGGATAGCAACACAGACCCCGCGAATGCTTGACGAACGCTTGCGGACGTTTGGGAAAAGCGTGTGGCACCTTTTCGGGTCCTAACTAATTACATGCTTTCTCCTCGAAGTGGTTTGAGACAACTTCAAACGAAAACACGCCTACAAACCCTGAGGCGTGCAAAGCCCCAACACCAATACCAGAAACCGCAAGGTTCCTTCCACTGCTGGCATCCCGAGCCTGGCTTGGTCGTAGGGCTCGCCTGGGACGATCGGAGGTTTGGGATTTGTTGTTATAGTTTTTGTGGACTTATGAGAGATCTTCAAGGCAAGAGGTGGTTTATGTGTTTGGGCTTACATACGGTGGTGGGAGAACCTCCCTGCCGCATAGCGCGGCTGAGAGAATGCACTAGGAGTGTCAAGGACCCTGCTGCCGACTATCTGACTGTAGAGCCTGCGCTGGAATTCCGGCCGAAGCTGCACAACCACCAAGTAACATAGGACTGCCAAGTTACCCTAACACAAGTCATGATAACAACCATAGTCAATGAGTCAATGATTGGCTCAAACATATCACCTGCCTCAGGGACAAGAAAACTCAAGCTAGTTTTGATGTTTTGGGAGAGATACGTCCTGAATTAAATCAAGCACGGTGCCTGCCCCACTCACCTCAAAGTGTGGAGCCGTCCGTGAAGACATTGCGAACCAAACTTCCCAACTCCTTCTGCGATTCCCTGATGATAAACATTGCAACTGCAACATCATAAATCCAAACCTCCGTGTAGTAGACATACTGTTCCTACATGTTCCTACCAGCGACAACTGAAGGCCACGTTCCAGGAGAACCCGCGAGACACTGGCACACTGGCCTGAAGCCTCGAGACCCCGGAACCCGACTGAACCCAACAACCCCAAGTCGAGCTGCCCTTGCCCTTCTTGTCACCGTGGAGTCCCAACCGCGCCCACTCTTTGATCAGCACCTGGGAAGTAAAGATGTGGGTTAGACCAGCTCCCAAACGAAAAAGACCTTATGATTAGAATATCATATGACTCTTATAGGATTGCTATTCTCGGGGTTGGGGGCAAAAACCCTGAGGCCTAACACCACCTCAAGCCGACATGTTGACGTGCTAAAGCATCTTTCCTGATTCTAGAAGGACCCTCCTAAAATCCTGAATTTGGATATATGGCCCCTAATAGCATAATACGGACATGGAAGCAGTCCACTAGCCCTCACCAATCAACTGGCCAAAATTCTTGAATGCAAGTCCACATACAGCATAGTTGCCGAAGGCCTGGCCTGCTAACGCCGCAGCTCGGCACAAAAGAACGGTGAGGACGAG